TGTTAATTTAGAAAAATATTTTCAACTGTAGGTCATGGAATAACCTGAGGAAAAATAATGGGATTGATGGGTGCATTCCAAGTGTTTCTCACTACTAAACCTGCATTCATTTGAAATCAGAAAGCGTGATTTTTTTTCCTATTTCGTTTTCCTAATACATACAAGTAAAGAAAACAGAACAACTAACATGACACAGGAAAGACTCATTGCCTTGGCAGAACTAAGAATTGTTACAGTCCACATGTGGATCTGCATCATTCAAATACATTATCATCTTAACTGACGAAGGCAGTGGATAGATGCTAAAATTACTGGGTGAAAATTTGAAGAGACACAGGGGGCTGGGGCATGGTTCAAGTGGTAGAGCATCTACCTAGCAAGCATAAGGTCCTGAGCTCAAACCCCAGTGCTGCCAATAAATAAATAAATGTGGAGACTCAGGATTTTGCACAGTCTCTATACCTCACTTCCAAAGCATTTACTTTTTTTTTTTGTCATTTCCAGTGTATTGAATAGTTTCCCTCGAGATAATACTGGTAACTGTATGATGAAGAAATCTGAATGTTGCCAACTTAAGTAAATGATCTGAGGTGACATCAAGGAGGAAACCTATCACCATGGCACCCCTGATAGGACGCATGGAGAACTCAGGGCACACCACCTCTGTCATCTTCTTCTCTCAAACATTTCATTGCAACCTAGTCTTGAGAGATACTGAGGATAATTGAAGAAAATGTAAGGACATTCTATAGAATAACTGATTAGTATTTGTGAAGCGTGTCAAGATCACGAACACAAGGCTGAAAAACAGCCAGATTGGGGAAGCTAATCTGTAACAAATGCACTGAGGGATTCTATTCACATTCTTGATGAGAAACACAACGCTCAGGGGGGAATTGCTAAAATCCAGAGAGTGATTTGCTTAATTACAATGTGCCAATGTGACTTCTTAATTTTAACAATTACATTCTTCATGTACTCTGTTCACATAAGGGATCTGAAGAAACTGGACTGTTCTTAAGACCTTTACTAAGATGTACTTCAAATACCATGCAATCCTCTCACTTAAGTGTAGAATTCAGTGGATTGTAGAATATTCAGTTTTGCAGCCACCATGATAACCAATTTTAGACCATTTTCAAACTTCTTCCAAAGCCTCATACCTCTTAGTCACTGCCTGCATCCTCTCTAGTCCTAGGCAACCACTCATCTACCTTGGGTTATAACAGATGTCTGTCTGTTTTTGGCATTTCATATAAATGGAATCATAAAATTTGCTGGTTTTGTGACTGAAATCCTTCACCCAGTATAAGGTGTGGAGGATTTATTTCTACTGTAGCACAGATTTAGTACTTCATTTTTCATTGCCAAATAATTTTCCATTATATGGATATACTATTTTTTTAAACATCTGTTCATCAGTTGTTTTCACTTTTGGCTCTCATGAATAATACTGCTAGGAATATTTGTGTGCAAGCCTTGTGTGCCCATGTGTTTTCACTGAAGTACAGGCCTAGCAGGAAGTTAACTATTTGCAGAGCTGCCAGTTTGTTTTCCAAATGTCTGTACTAATTTTGGGGCGGGGGTAACTGGTGTTATGCATGCAGCTTTTTACATTGCTGCCAGCAGTACATGAGGGTTCCAAATTATATGAGTAACATTTACTGTCTGTCTTGATGAATTATAGTCATCGTAGAGTCTATAAAGGAGTACAGTATTTCATGATGGTTTTTCCATTCCCTGACGACTAAGAATGTTGAGCATTTTTTTTTCATGTACTTACTGGCCATTTATGTATCATCTTTACAGAGCTCTGTATTCAGATCCTTTGCTCATATTTGAATTGGCTCATTTGTCTAATTATAATTGAATTGCAATACTTCTTTATGGAGTCCAAATGCAACTACCCTATTAGATACATGATTTGACAACATTTTTCTTTTTTTTTTTTTTTGTCTTTTCACTTTCTTGGTGGTGTCCTTTGAAAGAAGCTTTAAAGCTATCTTCTTTATCTATTTTTTCTTACGATGCTTGTACTTTGGTATCCTATCTAAGAAACTTTTGCCTAATCCAAGGTCACTAAAATTTATCCCTATATTTTCTTGTAAGAGTTTCATAATTTTAGCTTTTACATGTTGGTCTTTAATCCATTTTTGAGTTAGTTTCTATATGTGGTGTAAGGTAAAGATCCAATTTATTTTGTTGCATGAGGATTTCCAGGAGATCCAGCACTACTTATTGAAAAGACTCTTCCCAGCTGTACTGTCTTGGTCTCTTTAATGAAAAGTCACTGTAGATGTAAGGTTTGTTTTAGACTATTAGTTTCATTTCATCAATCTCTCTGCACTGGTTTTGCCATTCTGCTACTGCAAAGGTTAAAATTATTTCAAAATTAAAAATAATGTTATATATTGTGTAGATTCTAATTGTCTTATTACATTTTCCTGAATTATAAGTATTTTTGTCAGTTTAAGTTCTCAATAAGTAGCAGAGATGGAACCTTAAAAGATTATGAGTCTATTTCAAAATCATATTTAGTCTCAGAGCTTGGCCTATTTTACTAAATGACATAGGGGCATAAAATAAGGTAATACGATTACAGAGCTGTTACATCTTCTGAGTGAATTTAACTTTTTAGTCAATAAGCAGTGATTTCTTTTAGCCCCTAATAAAGTTTTAAAATTAATGCCCTCATTGTTTGATCCATTAATCATTAACTTTTTGATGATGTAGCCATTAACCTCCTTTTGTAAGTACTTTACCTGGTAATCTTTAACATTTCAGTATCTCTTCTTATTCTTTATTTTAAAATTATTTTTATGGTACTAGAGTTTGAACTCAAGGCCTCATGGTTGGTAGGCAGGCGCCCTACCACTTGAACCACTTCACCAGCCAGTTTTGTGTTGGATATTCTTCCAGACAGGGTCTCCCAAACTATTTGCACCAGGCTGGCTTCAAACAGCAATCCTCCTGATCTCTGCCTCCATCAGGACCACTATGGAGGCCACTACAGAGAGAAAAACAGCGCTCATGCAATGATCCATGAAAATACAAAGCTCTAAATCCAGATGATGCTCTTTGACCCTAGGTGGGTCCGAGCATCAGAGGGGGGAGTGATGCAGCAGGGAGGAGGGCCAAAGAGAGAGAGAGAGAAACAAGCAAGTCCGTGTTCTGATAATGCAGCAGGAGGGAAGGGATGGCATAGCAGTGAGATAAAACTTAAAAAAATCTAAACGTGAAGGTCACATAGTATTGGGGACAAAATAGCCAATAGAGCTGCATACAACCCTATATGGGTGAAACCTTGCTTTTTGCTTCTGTAACCTGTTTGCAAGGGTATATAAGGTGAGACCTTTGTTCTGGGGCTCAGCCTTTGATGTGAATCACTGAGCCGCTGCCAGCATGCTAATAAATATTGCTTCCTGAAAAGCCTTGGGGTCCTCTGTCTCTGCTCGAGATTCCCCTACCAATGGAACTTCACTCACTCATACAAGAGTTACTAAATTTACCTAACACTATAAGGGTCACGCTAGACCTTTTCAGGAGTATTAAAAGTTCCCAGGCTCTGTATATCCAAGCTGGATCATAAGACCTCAGGACAGTCAAGATGCAGCAACCACCTTCAGCAGCTCACCTTGTCCAGAACGAGGTCGTTTTTGGTTTCACAGCACTGAAAGTACACGGGATCCTCACCAACAAGGCTGAGGCGTGGAAGTAGAACTCCAGAGTTAGTTTCTCAGACTACCGCAGTCGGGACCACACTGAATTAGCAGCTGGGGCTCGGAAAACACCTGGACACAGCTTTAGGCAGAAGCTCAGCGCCCCGACCCGCTTGTGGGCATCTGCGCGTGCGCACTCCAGGTACAACGGCCCCTCCCCGAAGGCTCCCGGGAGACAGGCGGGGCGTGCGCGCCTCTTGTTCGCTGGCAGTGGGAGGGGCGTACTTGCCTCCAGGGCGCACGCGGTGGGCGGGGCGTGCGCTGGCCCTATAGGCGCACGGTGGGCGGGGCGTACGCCCCTCCAGGACCGGGATGGCATTTCCTCTCGGTTCTCGCGATTCTGGACTCTCTTTTCCCACCCGGGACCTGCAGTCCTGGGTTGTCGGCCGTGGACTACGATTCCCACAAGCGACGGAGACAACTTCCACCTCTGCCTCAAGACGTTCCCGACGTCTCTCCGTGCGCGCTGCGCGTAACTTGGTCCCACCTGGGAGAGAAGTCGGCGTGGGTCGCTGCGGCAAAGGCTCTGCAGACGGGGTCACAGCCCGCGTGGAGGTGAGCGCGGGGCCGCGGGAGGCGCCCGGAACGCGGAGGCCGCGGGCTTGGGCAGGGCGTGGCCGGCTGCTCCTCCGGAGGGAGGTGCGGGAGGTGCGGAGGAGGGCGTGACCCCGCGAGACCGCGGCGAGGGTGGCGGGGCCGGGCTGCCGTGACACGGGGCTGGCGCGCCTCTGTGACGGCGGGTGCTGTGGTGAGACTGAGCGGTGCCAGGCCGTCCCTGTGTGACCGGGCTCTGGGTGCGTTGCTGTGATGTGCGGTGAACGTTCTTTTCACCCGTGGCTCCAGGTGTCCTACTGCTTTGTGTGTCCTCCCTTCAGCCACGTGTCACTAACCAAAAAGTTCCCGGGTGGTAGATGAGATGTACAGACGTGCGGTTAGGCTGGGTTATGGAGCAAGATAGGAATAGGATTAGGACCGTGGGATCCCTACCTGGGAGGTCTTTGGAGAAGAGCAGCGAGCATCCCTGAGCTCTGAACCAGGCACTGCTGTGAACTCCCTGCTACTCCTGGGAGGTCGCTGTAGGAAGATGAGCTGTGGAAGATGATACAGTAAATAAATGCTCAGCCTGGTGTTTTCTCTGGCTCCTTGTCTTGTCGGATTCTGTAACTCAGAAGCAACGAAAATAGAAACTTAATTCTATTGTGCTCTTGCAAATTAATGGGGTGAGGCAGTGGCTCTAGTGTTTCAGGAGTTGTTAACTGAGTGTCCTTTGTGTTTACAGGTGTTCAGGGGCCCCCACCCCCTTGAAATTGTACAGAGAATTGCTCTTTAGAGTTGCGAATTTGTATTATGATTTTCAAGTGAGTACATAAAACCCAAACCGAACCCAAAACAAAACAGGAGTGAGATTTACATCTGGAATCAAAGATTGTTAGATCTTGAGTGTAGTTTCCTTCCTTCCCTTCCCTTCCTTCTTCCCTTCCCCCTTGTCTTTTCCTTCCCCCTTTCCCTGCCCTTCCCCCTTCTCCTTCCTCTTCCTTTCTCCTTTCCTTTTTTCTTTCCCTTTTCACTTTCCTTTCCTTTCCTTTCCTGGATTGAACCCAAGGCCTTGCACATGTGAGGCAAGCGCTCCACCACTTCAGCTAAGCCTCTAGTCCTTTTGTTTTTTATCTTTGAGACAGGGTCTTGGAACTACCTTTGTTGGGCTGGCTTCAAATTCAACCTCCTCCACATCCTCAGTAGCTGGGCTTGCAGATGTGTTCACAGTTTTGGACAAATTCAGTTATTAAGACTGTGGGAATAGTTAAAATCCAAAACAGCCTTTGGATAGAATGTTTTGCAGGTAATAAATTTTCTGTTTATAATAAAAATGGTATTGAAGTAATGTTTAACAGTCTTCATAATGTAGATAGGAATACTCAAGAAATTTTTAAATTACATGTGCAGCTCGATTTTTTTAAAAAATTAATTTTAGGCTAGCAGAGTGGTTCAAGTGGTGGAGCACCTGCCTAGCAAACATGAAGGCCTGAGTTCAAACCCCAGCACCACCAAAAAAAAAAAAGGAAAGAATTTTATAAAAATCTTTAGGAAGTATTGTATCCAAAATGATATTTTAATTGGTTTTGTGGAGAAGAATGGAAGGGGAGGAGGAGTAGCCAAATTTATTGAGCATCTTCTTTATCTACAAAACTTTCCTACCTGTTTGGCATATATGTTCTCTTTAACCTGCAAAGTTTGTTTTCATCTCTATTAATTGAAGAATCCCTGTAGGGAAATGTGTCTGGTTATGCCAGTGCTAAACAGCTATAGAGCTAAATACCATCACATTGATTTTTCATGGCGGTCCTAGTATTTACAAATTTTTTAATGACAAAAATTTGACTTTTTCCAATAATATATATAAATAATTTTAATACTTTGAAATATTTTATGTAGTATTTATGATGATTGAATTAATGTAAGCTCATTGCAAAAGAATTTCATTCCCAAAGGAATTTATGAAAAAGGAAGTGAGACTAACCCTTAACCTTCTTGCCTAGAGATAATGACTTTCAGTATTTTGGTATATACGTTTAAAATTTTCATGGGTTCATATTTTCATGTAGTTTTATTTTGGCATCACAGAATTGATCAAATGAAATTAAGAGTTTCCTCTTAATTTGAAAAAAGAAAGTTAAATCAGTCGTGGGTTTCCTTATACCTTTATGTATGTCAGGGGAAGAAAGAAGTGCCAAGGATCCCCGTCTTTGAAAAACTTGCTAATTATTTACAGTTTTTACATATTAGAAATGTTATTTAAGCTAATAACTATATGAAAGCCTTTCACAATTAATAATTTAGAGTTTTAAGGATATTTTCAGAGAAAATGTCACTAATGTCTGATGTCCAGATGTTCTAAAAGTAGAAATAATATTTCCAAGTACTATAATATTTATATTCACTTGAATTCCCATATTGTTCAAAAGAATAATAAAATTCTCAAAGATTCTCCATTTTATCAGGTCATGTATTTTGAGCATATTTATGAATGGATTGTTCTTGGTCTCTGTAGTTTCTGTGGACTGAGGAAGGAGACATTTTCTCCTTTGCTACCTGATGTCACTAAGATAGGCACTGAACTTTTTTTGGTGCTGAGAAGTCAGGTCTTTGCCAACTATTCACTCTAACACTGAGCTGCACCACCAGCCAGAACGGAAAAATTTTAAATTAGAATTTTAGTAGAGAAAAAGTCCAAACTTTACTGTAGGGTAAATAAGAATTAACTTCACGGTATATAATGGGTTAAAGGACAGGTAATGATTTTTTATCTTTTGTGTGTGTATGTGGTACTGGGGTTTGAACTCTGGGCCTCACACTTGCTAGGCCGCTTTTACACCAGCCATAGTTGCTTTCTTTACAATGCTTTCTAGAGGCTGGAATGTAGTTCAGTCATAGAGTATGTGCTGAGCATGCGCAAAGCCATAGGTTCACTCTCCACACCACACATAAAAAAAACCTTTAATCTGTTAATGAGGGTAAAATCTGAATAGAAATAAGTGTTTGCTAGTATGTATGATGAAGGCCACTAGAGAAGATTGTGTGACCTACCTTGTGAGTTAACTGGAAAGATGCTTTCATTCATCTCTACGATAGTCAGGATATGAACATATTATACCAGTTCTATAGAATGTATAGCAATGAATGGTTGTGTAACTTTTATACTTCTATAAGTTTAAAAAAAAAAGATCAAAACATAAATAATGTTAATAGATGGTCATGTAATTTTCCAAACGTTTCTAGCTACTGATTTCATTGGTCTGTCTGCCATTCTTTGTCTTTATTTATTGATATATTTGCGTATTTCACAGTAATAATTATGTCTGTCAACGTAATTTATCTGAAATATTTCCCATGTTCTTAAGTTTTTCCCAACTTCACAGTTTGTGTCTACTTTGTATTCTAGTACAATAATGATCAGTCATATATTTAACTGGAAACCTTTGCCAGACTCAAGATGGTGAACACTGCCTTTCTGTCTCCATAGTCTTAACCAACTTCACCCAGTTCCAAAAGAGGTTTTGGTTTGGATGATGAGTGCTCTTTTCAAACCTGGAAGGAAGAGGATCTGCTCAGAACAAGACACTGCTGCCCAATCTCAGGTCTACACATCTGCCTCACCAAAATTGCACAATGGCCAGAAAACTTCCTTCTAATATATGTTCGGTTGTCTTCAGTGCAGAAATGCCTGTATGACTTTGCTCAGTGATGACCCTGTGATTTGGGGGAAGGAAATGGGATTTATTTAGAACCCTAAGCTGCTAAATTTGTGTGTAATGGGGAATAGCTTGAAACATGAAATGAAAGAACATAACAGCAAAATTAAGTAACTTAATTTGTGTTGCGAACACTACAGAAAACTGGTCTCAAGGTCTTTCTCTTCTCCCAGGTCTAGCTCTCTGGATCTATGCTTTTCTGGTAGAGGAACTGTAACAAATGATACAGTCTTGAAGGTCTAAAACCATGGCCCTTGTAAGTTGATGTTTCTTTCCTCGTATGGATTTTTAGGTCATGCAAGGATCTTCCTGAAGTTTCCCACTAGGAAAAACTTTCTGTTTCCAGTTCTTGCTCTTCCACTGAACTGGGATGCCAAATTACCCAGCTTCCTCCCTATGTGGCCCATTCTAAACTTTTAATTTGGGGTTGGGGTGTGGCTTAGTGGTAGAGCACATGCACAAGGCCCAAGATTTTATCCCCAGCACTGAAAAAATAAATAAAAAAAGAAATATAAAACTTAACTAGCGTTCATGCAACTGCTGACCAAATTATCTAGCATGACTTAAGTACCTATTCATCTGTCAAGGGCAGTGATGGACTTAAGTTTTTTGAAGTAAAGTTATTTATGCATTCTGGGTCAAGTCTAGTTTGCTTAGATAGAAACAGTAGTCATATTTGACTATCCATGACGAAACTTAAATTTTTATAGACTTTAGATTTTCAGATAGTGAAGAAAGAAATTTTGTATTGAATGACCGAATCTCAGTGTAGGGCTCATACCTTGGATGAATTAGCATATTATTGGAACTTCCAAACTGGGAGGTCATGGAAGGAAATCTCTCAGAGGAAAATGTAAAGAGTATTCTATTGTTCAATGGGACATGCTACACTTGGGTGACAAGTATATAAGTCATCATCTTTCCTCAGTATTATTTTTTTTTTTGGTGGGACTGGGGTTTGAACTCAGGGCTTAGTATTGTTTAACTCAATGTGTTTGTTATCCATTACCACATAACAGATTGCCCTGAAACCTAATGGATTAAAATAGCAAACATTTATTTCAGTTTCTGTAGGCCAAGCATTTATATATTCATGGCTTGCTTTGCCTCTTTGACTCAAGGTGTTGGTTGGGACTGTAGTCATCTTAAGGATCAGCATTGGGTGTACATGTTTCTAAACTCACTCAAGTGTTTAACAGTTCTTCAGGGGCTATTGGTCTGAAAACCTCAGGTCCTCATTGGTTATTGGCTGATGGCCACTCTCTGTTTATTGTCATGTGGGTCTGTCAGTAGAACTACTTCAGACCTGGTAGCTGACTTCATCAGCAAGTCAGTGCGATACCAAGAGGATAGCAAAGTAGAATTTGTGTGGTGGCACACACCTATAATCCCAGCTAGTAAGACCCTATCTCACAAATAAGCCGGGTATACCTATTATCCCAGCTACTTGGTTGATGGAGATAGGAGCATTGTGGTTTGAGGCTAGCCTGGGCAAAATTAGTTTGAGACCCTATCTGAAAAAACAAACTAAAAGCAAACGTACTGGGGGGTTGGCTCAAGTGGTGGAGTGTTTGTCTAGCAAGCACAAGGCCCCAAGTTCAGTCCCCAATACCACAAACAAACATTCCCCAGCAACTCATTTATTAAAACACTTATGTGGCAGACATCAGATTATGCTTGTATGAACTAATTTAATAAACATTATTTTATCTATTCCCAGGTGCTTTGAATATTTAAGAGTATGCGAGACAGTTTTGTTTATGCCAGCAGTTTTCTTCAAGTGTGTGTGCGTGTGTGTGTGTGTGTGTGTGTGTGTGTGTGTGTGTGTGTGTAGCCCATTTGTATTGCTATCTTCTTGCAGTACAGCCTTCTCTCTGGCAATCTTCAAAGTGTTCCTTTAATTTCTTGAGTAGTGCATGGGTTTGCCATTTCAGGGATCCGTGACATTCAAGGATATAGCCATAGACTTCTCTGAGCAGGAATGGGAATGCCTCAGCCCTTTCCAGAGGAACTTGTACCAGAATGTGATGATGGAGAACTATCGTAACTTGGTCTCGCTGGGTATGTTTTCTTTGTCAAATAATTTAAAATGATTTAGACTGTGTTCTAGGATATATTACCTTGTAATATATCCTAATATATCTTTCTTTTCCACAAAGAAGTAGTTTGAGCATTATTGGGTTAGAAATGACAGCTCCATTATGAACACATTCACATATTCCTATCTTTCAGTGATAGTTGCACCTTCTCTGGACTTCTCAGATTTGCTTCTCACCCTTTATAAGGAAGAGCTAGGTTAGGATTTGGTAGAATGTATTGTGTAAACCTTGTTAAGAGATCCAGTTTTCCTACTTATGTATGCTCAGAATTACCATAGATATTACATCATCTGATCCACTTGCAGGGAGAACAACTTGATTGGTTCTGAATTGCTCTAATTACTGAAAGAATCTGTATAATTTATATAATGATGAATAAATGGAATTAATTTGAAACTAAAGCAAACATAATTTCATTTTCTAAGACAAATTTTATCTGATTTGTGATTGAAAATTGTAATCTATAAACGTTATATTTGTAGAAGCAATGCTCTAAGCACTTTACATATATGTTTTATGTATATGTATGTTATCAACTGACATAATCCTTATTAAATCAAGCAACCTTTTTGTTTCCATTGAAGAGTACATTTTTCAAATAAAAGTTCTGAGATTCAGTGGTTTTAAATCACTTGCCCATTGTGTTAGTCACATTTCGAAAACTGTGACAAAATATAAGGTGTCAGAGGTTTCAACCCATGGCTTTGTGGTTTCTGGTTTTGTGGTGAGCCAGAGCATCATAGCAAGGAGGGAAGGAGGGAAAGAGAGAGAGAGAGAGAAGCAGAGAAGCAAGGAGGGGTGACTGGAAAGAGGGAGATGGGAAAGAGGGAGAGGGGAAAAAGGGGTGATGGTCCCAATATACTTTTCAAGGACATATAATGACCTACTTCCTCTAGCCAGGCTTCCTCCTAAAGGTCACACCACCTCCCAATAGTACCACAGGCTAGCAATCAAGCCTTTAGAAGATATTTCATGTCTCAACTGTGACAGCCAAGGTCATAACAGCTAGAAGATGGCAAAGACAGGAATTTATAGCAGGCTCCAGAGTCCATATTTTCAACCATAGTATAAAGCCTGCTCTCAAAATAAAAGAAGATAAGGATGTATACATCATGTTTTAAAAAAAAAAAAACCTTACCTTACATAACTGAAATCTTACTTAATTTCCTCACCTTCTCTTCTAAAAATTGTATGTGTTATCATTTTTACCTTTAATTTATTATAATTTTGACTAAGCAAAGTATTTTTCTATATCATGTGGTCTGTTTCTTTTTTTCTTTATAAACAGGATATTCAACTTCTAAGCCAGATGTGATCACGCTATTGGAGCAAGGAAAAGAGCCCTGGATGGTCGTGAGGAAAGAAACAAGAAAATGGTGTAAAGGTAGGTAAGAGTAAATGTGGCCACAGGGAACCATCTGTAGGCAGCAGCCCAGCTGGTCAAGGAGGAGACGTACACTTGAATATTGTCGACCATCTCCATTCACAGTGAAGAAAAGGCTTGTGATCTGGAGGGGAAATGAATACTCATGTGAGCTTCCCACTGAACTTCTTCACCTTCACTTACCGCTGAGTTTTTAAGTCTCACGTTTCCTTTCTAATCCAGTAATGGGCAACATCTTTCCTTGTGCACCATTTTACATGCATTTTCAACCCAGCTGATTAACAGACCCTCATGTTCACTTAGATTTATATATTTGGTTTTGTTGCTTAAAAATATATTCATTTTTGTATGTAGCAAATAAAATGGAGTTAATAATGTGTTGGGGAAGACATAAAATAAACATGAAAACAAATAAGTAGATAAATAATACCAGGTAGTGAAATATACCGTGAAGAAAAATAACCCAACGTGGCAAATTTAGGTAAGGTAAGATGATCAAGAACAGTTTTCTGAGGAAGTATTTGAGCAAAGAGATACAATATAAGAGTGTAGGCCATTTGAATATATTAGAAAGAGCATACCATGAAGTGTAAACAACACATGCAAAGATCCTAAAGAGGGTGTGAGCATTGTCTATTTCAAGAGCACCAGATAGACTGGAATTATTGAAGGATGAGTAACAAGAAGTCAGTATGTCATGAGGGACCATGTCACATTAGGTTCTTTCATTCATTAAGAAGAATTATAGGCTGGAGGTGTGGCTCAAGTGATAAAGCACTTGCCACACAGGCTCAAGGCCCTGAGTACTGCCAAAAAAAAAAAAAAATTAGTTGTTGGATTCATGGTTTGATTAAAGTTTAAAATCCTTAATTTTAAAACTGAAACTTTATTATTTGACATACTGAACTCTAGATATAATAAACATAGGTTGATGTGTTATTTGTATTTTCTAATATAGCTTTCATATATGTCATTTTTTTTGAAAAAACATTTTGTCCCAATATTAATCTGTTGCATTTATTATTCTCCTTTCTGAGTTAACATTATAAACTTACTTCTTCTTTTATACCTGCTGTGTTCCTAAACTCTGTCGTTTCCTTTCTGAAATTTTCAAATTTTGATTTATGTTATTCTTTCATTTCTTACAGCTTTTCTCTTTTGTGGGTTTTTGTTGTTGTTGTTAGCAGTGCTGGGGTTTGAACTCAAGGCCTTGCTCTTGCTAGACAGGCGCTCTACCACTTCATCCACTCCTCCAGTCCTTTTTTGTGTTGGTTATTTTTGAGATAAGGTCTTGCTTTTTCCTTGGGCTGGCCTTGAATTGCGATCCTCCTGATCTCTTGCCTCCCAAGTAGCTAGGAGTGAGCCACTAGTGTACAGCCTCCTTGGTTATTTTTGAGATAGGGTATCTCTTTATGCCTGGACCAGCCTAGACTACCAGCCTCCAATTTGTGCTTCCCCACATAGCTGAGATGACAGGTGTATGCCAACATACCCAGCTTTTTTCTGTTGAGGTGGGATCTCAAAAACTGTTTTTGCCTGAGCTGGCTGGGAACCACAGTCCTCCCAGTCTCAGCCCCAAGTAATTTGGAATGACAAGCATATACCACTGTGCTCAACTATTGGTGATGAGACCCAGGGCCTTATGCATGCTAGGCAAACACTTAACTACTGAGCTGCATCCCCAACCTGACTTTCCCCTTTTTGTTATTAAGCTTTACACACACACACACACACACACACACACACACACACACACACACACACACACACACTTGCTGCTGCTTTTCTGTAGTTTGGTTTTTGGTTTGCTGTATAATTAGAATTGATTTGAGAATCCTGGCATTTGTGCTGCTGCTGTTATTATTCTAAGATGAAATTAGTAAAACAATAATTTCTAATTTTTTTCCTAGCAGAAGAAAGTGGTAATAAATATGAAAACTGACTGGTGAGCAGCAGTTTTTCAAGAACAGTACATTTAAACAAAGGCTTCTGGATTTAATGCAATTTCATTAAACTGGATAATAATAGCTAACACCCATTATCCTTTTGTTTTCTTTATTTTTTCCTTTTTTGGTACTGGGGTCTTGAGCATGCTAGGCAAGTGTTCTACCACCTGAGCAATGCCCCCAGCCCACATTCTTATATAGTGCCATTTGTTCTTCCTCACAAGCTTTGAAGTCCAGGTTCAGATGATCAGCCTTTATCCTATAAGTATTAAGCTTCCCAAGTCCAGTCAAGAGGAATAGAACAACAGGTTCAAAAAGGAGTTAGTGGAAAGGAAAGTATCTAATGCTATTTTTGATGTTTGAGCTGAGTTGCTGGAAAATAGTGCCATAAATTTTCAGGAGCTGGGGACATGGCTCAAATGGTAGAGCATCTGCCTTGCAAGCACGAGTCCCTGAGTTCAATCCCCACTACCACTACAAAATAAAATAAAATATAAACAAATAAAATACATCCCGAAGAGACAGCTTCCAGAGAAGGAAATAGGGTTGTAGTGGTAATGAAAGTGATGTATTGGGCTTAAGTTTAATTTGAAGCAACTGTGGTATATGCTATAGCTAGATAAATCCCATGTGATCAGAAATAGGGACTAGATTCAGCATAGTGATTAATGTTTAAGTAATTATAGAACATTTAATATAAGATTGCCTAAGGAGTGTGTGTAGGTGGAAGAACAATAAACAGCATTGGTGACAAGAAATACAAGTCACCTATTTAATACTGGAATGAACCATTCACAAAGGTACAAGAATTGGGAGAGTAAGTCAAAGAAACCAAGGGTCTAAGAACACAGAAGCTAAGGAAGGACTCCCATGACCACTGATACTCAAAAGAGTAGTAGAGTCTTTAATAGAAAAGTTGCTTTTATCTGTAACTACCTTTCCTCCTTTAAAAAAGAGAAAAATGGCTGGGCACCGGTGGCTTGTGCTTGTAATCCTAGCTACTCAGGCAGAGATCAGGCGATCATGGTATCACGGTTCGAAGCTAGCCTGGGCAAATAGTTCTTGAGACCCTATCTCAAACAAACAAACAAAAGCCCATCACAAAAAAGGGCTGGTGGAATGACTCAAGGTGTAGGCCCTGAGTTCAAACCCTAGTACTGCAAAATAAATAAATAAATGGAAAAAATAGATGGATAACTTGGAGTAACTGTAGTACTGGGAGGAATTGTGAAGAACAACTGCCTTACAAGATTGAGCTTCTTGAATTCGTATCTGGTCACACAATAAACATTCCCATTGCTTGCTCTTGAACTGAAGGTCTTTTGCAGTAATATTAAGACAGCTTTTTATGTAGTTAATCTTCCATATTCTTCAGGTATTTGTCTTATTATAGTACTAGAATGAACAAAAGTTGTCTATAAGAGCTTTAATAAAAAGACTGGCTCTGTGCAGGGAAAAACCTTTACTAAAAGTTCTGGGGACTTTCAAACTTTTTCTGAGGATTCATCTTCTTTGAGATTGTACGTGTACTCATACTATAGTATATGCAGCTGCTTTTGATTGTTTAGTTTATGGTTGTTTTCAAGAGCTTTTAGTTTCTGTTGTATTCCTTCACTGTTAATCTCCTCCCCATGGCATCTGCCTGTGGAACAGTGCTCACCTCTCTTTTTGGTGGCCTCCAACCTTGTATACAGTCTAACCTGTTCTTCCTGTCAGTGCCCCAAGCCAGGTGAGACAGAAACGGGTCTCTCCAACTGCTCCCAAACAAGTCAAATGCTGGATGGGAAGGGCCAGGAATTAGGAGGAGGTATCCATCCCCATTGTACCACATTACACTGAATTCAAAAGGGGTCAGGACTAGCAAACTGCCACGACTTCTTACCATACTTTGTGACCCTGTCTCTTGTTTTTATACTGACCTGTGTGCCATAACTAATTTCTGGAGTTCTCACAAAATTACTTTAGCCCATTATTTCTGCAATTCAGTGTCTCTTGTGGAGAACCAAGGGTTGGGTTTTCCTAGGCCAGTATCTTGCCAACAGCCCATCCCACTTTGACTTAGTTCCTCTGTTTTCCCTTTTCTGTCTTGTATTAGAGTATTGGAAATTTTCTATTACTTATTTGATCTTTTCTACTATATCTCTGAATAATTGTGTTAGTGGATATTATAGTGATTATAATATATGGTATCTCTGACCTTTCACAATCCACATAGAATTTAATATTAAACTGTTTTTGTAAAATAAAGAAACCATTATAACTTTATTATGTCCATCTTTTCCTTTGTAATTGTCATGTATATCACTTGTGCAAACATTGACAAATTTCACCACATAATATCGTAAGTTTTGCTTTCATTAGTCATGTCTCCTACGAATTTAAGAAGGAAATAAATGGTCACTCTTATTTATGTGAACATTTATCTGTTTGGATACCTTTTGTCATTTTTGAAAAACTCAGGTGTCTCATTAGTAACATTTTATATCAGCCTAAATAACTACGTTCAGTAGTTTTAGAACTGTTCTGTTGGTACCCAAGCTTCTTAATTTTCCTTTATTTGAAAAATTTATCTTACCTTCATTCCTAAATGCTATATTCATGAAGATGGAATTTAGAGTTAACAGTCTTTTTTTCCTTTTCATCATTCTAATTATCTTGGTCACTTTCTTCTGGCATTCACAAGTTCTGATGAGCAAACTGTGACCACTGGAATCACTATTCCTCTGAATGGTTCACCCCACAAATACTGCTAAAAAAAAAAAAAGGGAAAAAGAAAAATGAATAGCCATGTTTATGTTAGGCAGGTGGTTCATGCATGTAATCCTAGCTACTTGGAAGACTGAGATCAAGAGGATTGCAGTTTGATGTCAGCCTGGGCAAATAGTTCACAACACCCACATCTCCAGAAAACCAAGCAAAATAGATTGGAGGTGTGGCTCAAGGAGTAGAGCGTCTGCTTTGCAAATGCAAAGTCCTGAGTTTAAACCCCAGTTCCACCAAAAAATGTATATATATATATTTTTTTTTGTCTGTGTTTTTCAGCAGTTTATCTGTGTATTTTCTTTTATCTATCTTATTAGGTATCACTGCATTTCATTAATTGACAAATTTATATTTTTCAGCAAGTTTAGGATCTTCGCAGCCATTGTTTTCTCGAATGTTTTTCCTGCTTCAGTCTCTTTCTTTTTCTTCTTCATACTCCATTCACAACTTCTTATATATTCCCACAGATCTTTGAAGCTCTTTTAGTAAAAACTCAACTTGGGCAGCAGATGTGGATCAAGAAATCTTACAAGCTAGAAGCCTAGCATTGAATTGAATTAACTAAATCCAATCCCCAGTACCAGTTAAAATGTTAATTACATTTTAATATGGAATAGTATCTATAGGTCAGTCAGGCTTACTCTTTCCTCTGTTACTTCCTTTCTGCGATAAGCTCCTCCAACAATTTTAGAAATAATACTCTTTAGTGTTAATAATTTTCATTTTGTTCTTTATTTCTTTTTATCCAGTTATATTTCCTTTCTTTTCATTCATTTAAAATATGTGGGTTTTAAAAAACTAAATTTCATAGAATATAGCTAAAACTTCTGCTTTCAGCTCTTTGATAATTCGTTGGTCTGTTTTTTTCTCCCCAAAAAAGTGGGTCTTTTTTGTTTGTTTACATAGGCCCTTACTATGTTGCCCAGATCCTCCTGCTTCAGCTTCCTGAGTGCTGGGGTTACAGGCATGTGCCACCTCGCCAGGCCCTTTCTCCCCTCCTGAATGCCGAATAATTTTGAATTGTATTTTTCTTGTGCATTATTGGGTTACTGGGTTTTGTTCATTCCTCTGGAGAATATTATTATGCTTGTATGTTGATTTTGGTGTAACTGGGATTTGAACTCAGGGCCTTGCACTTGCTAGGGAGGCACTCTACAATTGAGCCATGCCCAGCTCTTTACTTTGGTTATTTTTCGGTTTAGGGTCTTTTTTTTTTTTTGTCTTTTCTTTTTTGGTGTTGAGATCGAACCCAGGGCCTTGCGCATGCTAGGCAAGCACTCTTCCACTGATCTGCATCTTAGCCCAGGTGTCATGTTTTTGCCTGGGATCAGTCTTAGACTGTGGTCCTCCTACCTATACCTCCAGTATAGTTAGGACCACAGTTCTGAACCACCACACTCAGCTTATTTATTGAGATATGGTTTCACTAACTTTTTGCCCTGGCTGGCCTCAACCTACCATCCTGTTCTCTTCTGCCTCCTGAGTAACTGAGTTTGCAGGTGTGTGGTACCATAGCTGGCTTTTTATTTTAGCAAGTTACCAAAGCAATAGATTCCAGAGAATAGTTTTTGTCTTGCTGTTTGTAGGGAGTGGTTTAATTCTTACTTTGGTTCTTTAAGACTTACTACACTGAATTGTGTCCCATCACACATGTATTAGGCTAAGACTTACACTATTGCATTGCCATTTATCAGCTGGACCTGGGTGATTGGAGCTGAAAAAGATGGGGGGGACTATCGAGTTGTACTCAATAGCCACTTTATTGAGGATCACTTCTGCTTTTTATAAGCTCCTTTTTCACAGAGAGCATTTGGTCAGAAAAAGCATGGCAAGTATCACGTGTCAAGGTTACATTAATACAAGGAAGCAGAGTTAAAATTAACTCTTTGTTATATCTCTTTTAAAATGGTAACAGAAAGGCAGGAGAAGCACATGGTCAGCATAACCTTCTTATTTACATCTGAAGGACATGAAGCCATCTGGGGAACCTTGAGCACTGTTGTTTTTCTGGATGTCTAGTTCTGAGAGTTTTGCCTCAGTTCCTTAGAGCTTTCTCACAAGGCCAGATACCAAATCACACGGGCACAGTCCCACTGCTGGCTCTGACACTATTGTACACTTAAATTGGGAAACCTTTTCTAGATGTTCCTGATCCATGATTCTCCTGTCCCTACTTTTTCAGTTTGGGAGTGCTTCTTATCTTAATGTCTGCAGCAAGAAATACATCAACATTTCACTTTCTTACTGTAACTGGAGCCTATACTTGGAACCAAGACCATGTGTGCTAGGTAAAACTGAAGAAACTCAGCATTACAGTTCACTTTTTTGTTTGGGGGTGGGGTTGTTAGGGTCTTAGAAGGGGTTCTTTTTTATTTTTTGAGACAGGGTCTCACTATGTAGCATAGGTTGGCCTGGAACTCACACTCCTCCTGCCTTAGCCTCCTGAGTGCTGGGATTTTCAGAGGTATGCCACCACACCTTGCCACTTTTTAATTTTCCTGTTTTGTTTACTCTTTTTTTCTTGTTTTTAAATTTTTTTTCTTGGTTACTCTTAACAACCAATCTCAAATTAGCTGAATTTTAAAATTTTTGTCAAGTGTTTTTAGTTGATGTCAGTTAGAAAGGAAGATGAACTAGAAGAAGGAGGACTTCTGGTACCATGATGGAACTAAAACTTCCTAAGTTGACTTGTTTAATTATCTTTTTCATTTCTTTTCTCCTGTACCATTATTGATTCAGTGCTTATTAATTTTTTTATCCATTACAGTCATTTTTATTTGCTACTATTACAGTGTTATTTTGTCTCATCTCAGTAAGTCTTTGAAATCTTTCTTTTGGGGTTATTCATTGGCTCACCTTTCTGACTAACCATCCTAAATTGTCCTATTATCCAATTATCTTGGCTTCATGTACAGAAGCTTGGTATTTAAAAATTTTAGTAGGAGTAAAGAGTGCCATCGTAAATATCTTTTCTGACAACTTTTTCTGTTTCTTCTGTTGTAGTTGATCTGGTTAGGACTTCCTTTCTCTGGTCAATTCTGATTTTTTTTCTGGAGAATTAGTCATTCCATTTATACTTTCAAAAATATTAATGGTGATGGGGCTGAGGGTGTAGCTCAGTGGTAGAACATTTGCCTAGCATGTGTAAGGCCCTAGGTTTGGTCTCTAACACTAACAATAAAAGGGAAAAAAACTTGATGTATAGCTCACATTTTCTCTTTGTCATTCTTATTTTTAAATTATTTTTACTGCTCTTTGATTGATTTAGTCATTTGACTTCCTTGTTTGTTTTTTGTTTATAATGCTGGGATTTTACTTAGGGCCTCATGCTTGTTGGATAAGTGCTCTTAACACTGAGCTACATCCCCATCCCCTACTTAGTGGTTTATAAAGTATCAGTTATTTGATTTATGTAACACCCCTGTTTTCTAACTATTGCATTTTGTATTTATCTTAGTTTTTCAGCTTTGTAATAAACAAATTACATACATTTTGGTATTGGGTTCTTACCTCATTTATTTCTCTTTCATTTTTATTAAGGTAAAATTTTGTCTTTTAGTTTTCTGAATGTTGAAAAAGAATGTCAAATTTTGGTATATACTTATTTTCTTATTGTTATTTACTTTCTTTTTTTCTCAGGTTTTTATTTAACATTGACCCAACAGTTATCCTAGAAAAGACTTTTTTGTTTTCACATGGAAGGCGTTACGGTTTTCTGATAGTTAATTTATTTTTATTGGCATTATATTTTGAGAGTGTTGTTTATATTATTTCAGCATTTAGACACACATCCTCTTTTCACAAGAAGACACTTCTAGTTCCAAGTTATTTCTCTCTTATTCATCACTTTCAAATATAGTCAAGCTATTCCTTTTCACTGGTTATTTAACCAGGATAAATCATCTGTTCTTTTCATCTACCTTTTGGAACTCTTCCTGTAGATTCCTTCACTGTGTAGTTCACTTTTTCTTGTCTCCCCCACCCCCAGTACCCAAATGCTCACAGTTACATAGGGTTTTCAATATGGTGTAAACTGAGTGGATGTCTAAAGATTCATTGACATACTCTTCAAGTTATTGCTAGAGTGATCAACTTTAGTAGAAAGGGAAAATGAAAGAGGACTTGAGAAAAGGTATGAAGGAATAAAACAGATGAAGCATCTGTAGGATGGATAATTAATAAGAAAAATCTTAGCCACTGTAATAAAAGCTTTACTTTAATTGTACAATGAGGTTTATTGTGCTATTTCCATACTCTTATTATTTTGTTTGATATGGGAAACAATGAGAAGCTCACATGGCTGTGTATAGAAGGGAATGAACCACAGTATCCATATTTTTAATATGTAATATAATTAGAGGAAAATCATGTATAAATAGTTGCTTTAAATATATTTGTTTATATTAACAAGGAAACTAATACAGAAAATAGTACTTTTAATCACTAAAGTATGATGAATGAACATTATGGAGACATTGTGAGTAACAATTATACATTGTATAGCTGATTCTAGAATTCCTAATTGGTGACATGTTTTTGGTGGCACTAGGGTTTGAACTCAGGGCCTCACGCTTGCTAGACAGGCACTCTACCACTTGAGCCACTCTGCTGGTCCTTTCGTTTAATTATTTTTTTAATCTGTAGAACAGTTATTTGCTGACATCCAGGAAAATAAAATGTTTTTATTTCTTTTAGATTTGGAGTCCAAATATGAAAAAATCAGCTATGGAAAAGTAGGCATTTATAGAGCACATCCATCTGTCACACTTCGCCAAAGAATTCCTAACCGTGAGAAGTCTTATGAATGTGAAAAATGTGGGAAGGCCTTTACTCGTCATACAGACCTTACAGTGCACCAGAGAATCCACACTGGGGAGAAACCCTACGAATGTAATCAGTGTGGAAAAGCCTTCAGTCGTGCATCTAACCTTCTGCAACATCAGAAGATTCACACTGGTGAAAAGCCCTATAAATGTGAGGACTGTGGGATGACCTTTAGTCGTAATATAGACCTTACAGTTCATCAGAGAATTCATACAGGTGAGAAACCCTATCAATGTGAAAAGTGTGGGAAGGCCTTTAGTCGTGCCTCCTACCTGACTCAACATGGAAAAGTTCATACTGGTGAGAAATCCTATATATGTCATCAGTGTGGAAAGGCCTTTAGTAGAGGTGGGAAACTTAAAATACATCTAAGAATCCACACGGGTGAGAAACCGTACCAATGTAAGACATGTGGCAAGGCCTTTAGTCAAGCTTCTCACCTTGTGCAACATGACAGAATTCATACTGGTGAAAAACCTTATGAATGCCTTGAATGTGGGATGACTTTTAGTCGTGGTATAGATCTTAGAGTGCATCATAGAATTCATACTGGTGAGAAACCCTGTAAATGTAAAGAATGTGGGAAGGCTTTTAGTTGTGCCTCAAATCTTGTTCAACATGAGAGGATTCATACTGGCAAAAAGCCCTATGAATGTGAAGAATGTGGTATGACCTTTAGTCGTGTTTATCAGCTTGTTCCACATCAGAGAATGCACACTGGCATAAAACCCTATGAGTGTAAGGAATGTGGGAAGGCCTTTATTCGTGCCTCGGCACTTATTCAGCATGAGAGAATTCATACTGGTGAGAAACCCTACAAATGTACAGAATGCGGAAAGGCCTTTATTCATGGTGGTAGCCTTAAGATGCACCAGAAAATTCATACTGGTGAGAAGCCCTACAAATGTAAAGAATGTGGGAAGGCCTTTGGTTGTACCTCAGACCTTGTTAGGCATGAGAGAATTCATACTGGCGAGAAACCCTATGAATGTAAAGAATGTTGGAAGGCCTTTAGTCATGTCGAAAGCCTTAGAATGCATCACAGACTTCATACTGGTGAGAAACCCTATGAGTGTAAAGAATGTGGGAAGGCTTTTAAGAGTGGCCATCAGCTTACTGTACATCAGAGAATTCATACTGGTGAAAAGCCATATGAATGTAAGGAATGTGGGAAGGCCTTTAGTGTCTATGGACGACTTACTCGACATCAAATTATTCATAGTGGTGAGAAACCTTTCGAATGTAGTAAATGTGGGAAGGCCTTTAGACATAGTTCAAGTCTTAAAGTACATCAACGAATTCATTCTAGAGAAAAACCTTAGGAATGAAAGGGCTGTGGAAAGGCATGGTATACAATGTACAATACACCAGTCATTTGTAGCACTAAGAGACAATTTGGATGAAAAGAATGTGGGAATGTTTTCAAATATGGTTCAGTTCTCATAAGGCTTTAGTTTCATGTGAAAATCCCTCAGATATAAATAATATTTCAGGTTTTTTGTTTTATAAACATTGTTCATATTCAGAATTTTTAATGTATTATGTAATGTAAGAGAATATTTGTGTTTATTCATTGATTATCAGTATATTCACATGAGAGGAAAATTCAGAGAATGTAGAAATGTCTTTTTATGCTTTATTTATAAAAGCCCTATCAGTTATTGTTAAACTTAAAGAAACTTACACCCCTGAAAACCTCTGCTGACCCAATAAATGTGGCAAAACTATTGTGATTGCCATTCTATTCCTGTAGCCTGTATCGTGTAGGGCAAGATATTCATCCTGTGGGAGTCCCCTGGAAATTATAATTGTATCTATAGTGTAGTGCTATTATTGTATAAAGCTTGGAAAGCTATTTCACATGTAGTCTGTATCCAATAAGTACCAGATGCTATTTTTAATATTATTTATGTTACTGTTGGTGAATTATTATGAGATAAAGTCTATAAGCTATAATAATTTTAGGAAAGCTTCCTGTGTATGTTAGCTTTTCAGGTTTTTTTATATGTGTGCAAACTCAGGACTTTGTGCTTGCAAAGCAGGTGCTCCACTTTGCTCTGGTTATTTTGGAGATGGGGTCTCATGAACTGTTTTCCCAGGCTGGCCTTGAAACTCCATCTTCCCGATCTCAGTCTCCTAAGTAACGAGGATTACAGGTGTGAGCCACCAGTGCCCAAATGCTTTTAAAGTTTTTAAAATTTTCTTATTAAAACCTAGTAGAATTTTTTAAATGAGAGGATTTAAATCAGGTTTTATTGGAGCACTGCCCCATGCATATTGACTGGCTGCTTTGACACTACTCTAGCAGAGTCAAGTACTTACAGCAGAGGCACTGAGGCTCAAAAAGCCTAAAACATTTTCTTTCTGGTTTTAAAAAGTGCCAACCCCTGGTTTAGTACAACATCCCCATAGTTTTTTCATGACGAGATTTTTTGGGGGACAGAACTGAGGTATGAACTTAGGGCTTTGTGCTTTTGAGGCCGGCCCTCTACCACTTGAGCCATACCTCCAACCCTTTCTAATTTCGTTATTTATCAGGTAGGGTCTCATATTTTTTGCCTAAGCCTGTGATCCTTCTATTTATGCCTCCCACGTAGCAGGGATGGCAGGTGTATACCTCCAGACTTAGCTTATTTTTTTGAGGTGAGGTCTCACTTACTTTTTGCCCAGTCTGGCCTTGAACTGTGATCCTCCCAGTCTACTTGCCAAGAAGCTGGGATTGCAGGCATGAGCTGCTGTACCTGGCTGTCTTTGGATTTTAAAGAATGTTTATCATTGAATGTCCTACTTCTGGTATTTAAAAAATCATTTTCCGTATGAATCACTTGTTTTTTTGTTGGGGGGGAAGCTGCTACGGATAAACCTGAGGGCCTTGCACATCGTAGGCAAGCTCTACCACTGAACCCATTTATTTTTTCTGCCCATAGCTCCAGTAACTCTCAATTACATAAAGATGTTTAATTTAGTGATACTGTGTTGAGTTCTCCTGGTACAGGTTCCTAATCCAAAAAGTCTGAAATTTGAAGTGTTTCAAAATCTTTTTGAATACTAACATAGTGGTACATGTTGAAAATTCCACACCTGACCTCATATGCCAGATCAGAACTTATGTTTACTGAAAATACAATCATCTATTGCTTGCAGACTGGGTTATGTTCTAAGAAATGCATCATCAGGCAGTTTTGGTGTGCAGACATCACACAGCATACCTACACAAACTAAGGCAGCTATTATGTAACGAGGCAATATAGTCTTACAGGACCACGGTGGCCTATCACAGACCAAGACATCCTTATATGTCACAGGACTGTGTTGTATAGAAGTACCTTATATGTGGAAACACATGAATTTCATGTTTAGAACTGGCCATTTCCAGTGTATGGCATTATGTATATCCAAGTATTCTAAAACTCAAAACCTTTCGAAATCTGAAATGTCTGGTCCCAAGCATTTAGGATGAGGGGTACACAACCTACAGCAATGTGTTTGAGAGCATTGCTTGGTTATGGAAGTCAGCACTTGATCCCGCCAGTGCACAAATCCATTTTACACTTAATAATCTGCGTGGTAATATTTTGTCGCCTCCTTTTTGAAATTTATAATACTATATATGTCTTAAGTTGAATAGAAAATTAATATAGCAACTAGAGCCTGTTCAGAAATGCCTGTATATTAGAACTCTGGAATGTAGGCAGTTCTCTACTCATTAGAAATTTATCACTCTTTAAAACTAGAGTATGGGAGCATGGTGCTAGGGTTTGAACTCAGGGCCTCACAATTACTAGGCAGGCACTCTACCACTTGAGTCACTTCACCAGTCCTTTTTTGTGTTGGGTGTTTTTGAGATAGGTCTTGAAAACTGTTTTCCTGGGCCAGCTTCAAATCTTGATCCTCCTGTGTAATTAGGATTACAGGGTTGAGCCACTGGCATCTGACTATGGAATTTAATGCTCTTTTTAAGTTTTGTTTATTTTCTGAGAAGAGCAGTGAATACCTATATAAGTTTGGTAATTTGTGAATAAAATAATCCTTAATGCTTTTTAAGTTTTTAAGTTTTCTGTTAAGCGTATTAACATCAAATAGAAATTTGTTAAGTCTGGTTAAGAAAAAATAAGAGTGATCACATTGTGACATCATTAGTAAGAAAGAGGACATGTATATAATTAATGGAGGATGAATGTTTAATTATAAGATAATATTTAACATTTATTCCAGTATATTTAGTAATCTAGAAGGGTGTATTGTCTTCTAGAAAAAAGTGTAATTTATCAAAACTGACTTAAGATAACATTACACTTTTTTAACATGCTTTTTAAATCAAAGGAAAAGAACTTCCTCTTTAAAAAAAAGCAGCAAATACAATATGGTACATCCTCAGATTAGACTTAAAAGGAGGAGCCAGGCACAGTGGTACATACCTATAATCCCAGCACATGGGAGGTAGAAGCAGGTGGATTGCAAATTTGAGGTCAGCCTTGGATACTTAGCAAGTTCCCAACCCTATCTCAATCCCCCACACCCCATAGACTTAAAGAAGGAAATTGGCGTTCCTGTCACTGAGTCACCGAAGAGCTCGCCACGCCGCTGAGGGAGAAGGCAAGCCGTCCGTGCCCCTTCGCGTCTGAGAATACACACATTGATGCTTAAGACAAGATGATTACCCAATTTCTGTATCAAAATGAAAGACCTGCTATGGCAGTGAAGAAAGAGACCGACTTTGTCATTTTCACCTAAGGAAAAATGATTGATCAAAATCAAACCTATGTTGCCGGGCAGGGTTCTATGCCCTATATGACTTGTGTGAGTCACATACTTGAGGAATGGCTTGGTGTGGAGCAATTGGAGGATTATTTGAATTTTGCGAACCATCTCTTGTGGGTTTTTACACCACTCATACTTTTAATATTTCCTTATTTTACTATCTTTCTTCTCTACCTTCCTATTATTTTCCTACACATTTATAAGAGGAAGAATGTATTAAAAGAAGCCTACTCTCATAATTTATGGGACGGCACAAGGAAAACAGTGGCAACTTTGTGGGACGGACATGCAGCGGTGTGGCATGGACATGCAGTTCATGGGATGGAAAAAATGCCAGAAGAAGGACCAGCACTTATAATCTTTTACCATGGGGCTATTCCTATAGATTTTTACTACTTCATGGCTAAAATTTTTATCCACAAAGGCAGAACTTGCCGAGTAGTAGCTGATCACTTTGTCTTTAAAATTCCAGGATTTAGTTTATTACTTGATGTATTTTGTGCTCTACATGGACCAAGAGGAAAATGTGTTGAAATTCTGAGGAGTGGTCACTTGTTAGCTATCTCACTGGGTGGAGTTCAAGAAGCCCTAATGAGCAATGAAACCTACAACATTGTATGGGGCAATCATAAAGGCTTTGCTCAGGCCGCAATTGATGCAAAAGTGGCCTTTTATTTAGAGACTGCTGCTAGTGACTTTGACATTTCAGGTTTTCTGTGTCGCCACTCCTGCTACATAAAGAACCAGTGTGTACCCTTCTTGATTGCCCAGCTTGCAAATATGGACTGTTGATTGAGAAAGAAAGATTCTGGATGAGTCCTGCTAACCAAAGAATAATGTTTGAAGAAGAATGGATGTTTTTATGTTTCAATTGAAAGAGCTATAATAAAATACACTGAGCTCTTTCTTTCCTGTAAAAAAAAAAAAAAGAAGGAAATTGTTTCTGACAAAAATTCCCCAGCTCATTGCTACATGATTGCATAGGTATAGCTTCTCTATACGAGTTAACTCCTAAAGATCAAAAGGTGAATGATTTCCCCTTATAAAATCAAGCGTAGAAAATCAAAATATATTCTCTACCAACTGAAACTAAAGCCCTATCAAATGAACTTGAAATTAAAAAGCATTTGTTTACAATATCCAAGATTCAGCTTTCTGGTTTAGTTATAAATCCTAATACATGAGAAAATAATTGATTTTTTTGACCTCAGGTAAAAGGTCAGCAACCAGTGGCCCATGGGCCAACCCCTTGGTGTGCAAATAAAATTGTACTGGCACCCAGCTACACTTACTTACCTACTGTCTGTGGCTGCTTTTCACTTCAACAACAGAGTTAATTGTAACAGACACTATTGGGTTCATAAGCCCATGTTACTTACATTTTGGCAATTATTTACTCTTCTGGACCTTTACTGTTGACCCTTTAAGAAAAGGAAAAGTTTGCTGACATGTGGTCTAGATTTATTAGTTTTCTAATATTTATTGACTTTAAGAAAGATTGAATTACAGAAACTAATTTCTTTAATGCCAAAAGATGGCTGAGTTCTTTTTTTATTTTCTTTTCTTTTTTCGGTGTTGGCATTTTTTAACTCTGGATGCTACTTAAAATTGCTAACTACTTTCGGTCACTTCTAGCTAGATGGCCATCATAAATTAGTGATTTGAAATACCTCCCCTGTATTTTCTGGCAATCTCAAGAAAGAAAGTGCTGGGTACTGATGGCTCATGCCTGTAATCCTAACTATTTAGAAGGCAGAGATCAGGAGGATCTGCGGTTCAGAGCCACCTGGGTAAATACTTGTGAGACTATCTCCAAAAAATCCTTTACAATAAAAGGACTGGTGGAGTGGCTCATTGTGTAGGCACTGAGTTCAAGCCTCAGTACCACAAAAAAAAAAGTGCCAACATGTTAGTTTTGATGAAACAATGTGTATTTTTACACAGTTAGAATCTAATCTTATGAATGAATTAACACCTTTTGAGTAAGAATAATTGTGGAAAATCAAATTATACATTGTCAACCAACCATCTGTAATGTCAGTGATTGTTATAATCTATATTTCTACATTTTGGTATCCATCTGTTGCAGATGGAAAAATCCAATAGCATAAGACAGAATAAGTGCAGTTCCATAATAAAAATGTCTTTTGCAGTGGGTTGTTACTCCTCCAGGTTACCATGTATTTGCGCTGCATGTAGGGACGTATACCTTTACCTGACATTGTTGAAATTGAGCCTCCAGGAACACT